GAAGATGACACATGAGGGCATTCAATAGCTGGTGGGTGCACTTCTGCCTCAGAAGAACACATTTCCCACTGTATTTCTGGCTGGATTCCAGAGCTCCGGGTCAAGAGCAGCAGGAAGTGAGAACACAAGATCCCTTCTCCCTGGGAGCCAGGGAATCCCTGGGGAGGCAAGCCCATGAGAATTCTGGTTTGCTTGTTTTCATTTGATTATGCAAATAATGTTTATTGTAAAGAAATAGAAATGGTTGATAAAAAGTTGATGCAAAATATTCACAGTCCACCTAGCCACTTTTGACATTTTGGGATATACAATTTTCTGGATTATTATTAATTTTTTTGCAGGGGCAGGGTACTGGGGATTGAACTCAGGGGCACTTGACCACTGAGCCACATCCCCAGCCCTATTTTGTATTTTATTAGAGACAGGGTCTCAGTGAGTTGCTTAGTGCCTCACTAAATTGCTGAGGCGGGCTTTGAACTCTCGATCCTCCTGCCTCTGCCTTCCGAGTCGCTGGGATTAACAGGTGTGCGCCACTGTGCCGGCTAGATTATTCTTTATGTAGCTCACATGTCCTGCACACAAACACACACCTACTGTATATTAAGTATATACATGCAGCAGTCAATGAGGCCTATTTTGTGGCAACCCACTGTTTCAAATGCTTTCCAGGTGTTACTTCATTTAATCCTAAAAGATCCCTGAGATTGGATCTAACATGCCCATTTTACATATAAGGAAACTGAGGCACCAGAGGATGAAGTCATTTGCTTTGTGTGGTACAGTTAATTAAGGGGCAGAGGCAGCAGGGAGACCCAGATCTGCTGGCATCAGTTTCTGTGACCTTTTTTTTTCCTGGTGCTGGGGATGGAACCCAGGGTCTCGCTCACACTGGGCCAGCACTGTCCCGCTGAACCACACCTGGCCCTGTGCTGAAGTCTCTAGATTACAAATATATTCCAGGAGGTGACTGTCCCCACCAATTCTAATGGCAGTATAGTTTTTTTTTTTTTAAAGAGAGAGAGAGGATTTTTTTAATATTTATTTTTTAGTTTTCGGCGGACACAACATCTTTGTATGTGGTGCTGAGGATCGAACCCGGGCCGCACGCATGCCAGGCGAGCGCGCTACTGCTTGAGCCACATCCCCAGCACATGGCAGTATAGTTTTGCAGCTATTTCTTACTGCATTTAACCAGTCCAACAGGAAGGATGCTGACGGTGATGTGTGTGAGGGGGGACAGTGTGGCCCAAATACATCCACTCCCTACTCCCTGTGTCATACTTTCTGCAGGGAAGGGGGTTTGTAATGTGATTAAAATGCCTTCAGAGATGGGGAGATCATCCAGATGGGCCCTGAATATAATCACAAGTGTCCCCAGACAAGGGAGGGGGTGGGGTGACTTGATGCAGGAGAGATGGGGTGGCAGTAGCATAGCAGCTGGAGGGGCAGGAATGGGTCAAAAGGAACACAGAAACCTCCAGAAGCAGGAAGGGGCAGGGAACTGGACCCCACGCCCAGCTCCAGAGCCTCCAGAAGAAACCCAGCCTGTGACCCTTGTATTTCAGTCGGTGAAATTCACGTGACTTCTCGGGCTTTTTCCAGAACTGTGAGAGACTACACCTGTCCCTGAGTTTGTAGCAGCTGCCACCGTGAGACACTAACACAAATGCTCTAAGCCAGGTGGAGTCAAGAGAATGGGCCAGCGGGCTTGGCTCCCGTCCTCACCTGGAGGATGAGGGTTAAGGCTGAGCCAGCTTCCTCTCCCCCTTGGCTGTTCAGAGATTATGGCCCCTCGGGGCCAAGGGCTGCCTGATGCGTGATAGCAAATGACCAAGAGCACTCCCTCCTTGGCCTCTGCTCTCCTGGCCAGCCTATATCAAGAAGCCAAGAGCAGGAGGCGGTGGTTAACCTGGGGCCGTCGTCTCTGGCTCAGTTTACTCCTGCTCTACCTGCAGTGGCCCCCCACCTAGCCCGGGTGACCTCTCCAGCCACCAGCACCTGCCACTCTGGGCTAGTTGGTGCTTGGGGGCAGGGGCCAAGGTCCACTCTGGGCAGCTGGGCCCCAACCCCAGCTCCTCCTCTTCCCACCCTTCCCCTACATTCCAACCCGCTCAGACCAGTGAGGTCTGGATTGTGGGCAGCCGGCAGCCAGCCTCCCTGGAGAGCAGGGCTGGGGCCACACGCTGGTCTGAAGCTCAGCTTAACTTTGATCCTTCCTATGAAGCTGGACAGCCCTCCCCCCTCAGCGCTGTAAGGAAGGTTCTGTGCCCATCTTGCTAATGAGCAAACTGAGGTTTACCATGGAAAGCTAGCCTAGAGGCTCAGGGCACTGAGAACAGCAGAGAATGCGGCCCGCAGAGACCCTCGGCCCAGGAGGAGGGGGCAGCTAAGAGTCCAAGCGATGAAAGGGACGGGAGAGCCAAATCCTAGGTAGGGTGGGTGTGAAGGCCTTGTGAGGTGACAGGAGCTCAGACAGGACAAAGGGACCGAGGAGCTTGCTGCAGGGAGGCTGGCCTGAGCAGGCTACGTGCATCAACCACCTGGTAGTGTCCCCAGAGTTGGCCTCAGTGCTGAGGAGCCCTGGCCTCTAGTGCAGGGGGTTGAGGATGGATGAGTGGGGGCAGGTGGGAGGCTGGACAGGAGTTTGCCAAGACCCGAGAGCTGGGGTATGACCAAGGCCTATCACCTTGGTATCAGGCACAGGAAGCCAATGTTGGCCGCTGCAGCCATGCCCTGGTGTCCTTGGCTCATGGACACCCCTCCAGCCTCCCAGGCCAGTCTCTCCTCCATGGGTCTGTGTCCTACATTCCCTCTTCTTGAAGGCCACTGATCACTGGATTTAGGGGCCCTCCTAATCCAGAATGAACTCACCCTAAACTGACTGTATCTGCAGTGATCCTGTTTCCAAGTAAGGCTATCTTCTGAGGTTCTGGGGGAGACACAAATTTTAGGGGGACACTATTCATCCATGCCCAGAGCCAGTCCCTGAGCTGTGGGTCCCCTCCCCTAGCAGTCCTGCCTGGCCTCTGATGTCCAGGGCCATCAGAACGCCGTGGACAGTCACTTAATGAACACCTCATGGAGCCTCGTGTGCGCCACCTGCTGAAGACAAGCACATTTCTGAGTAGCCCAAGAGAGGTTTTGAGGGGCCTGAAACCTGAAGCACTTTGGAGTCCTTGTGTAAAGCCAGCCTCAGTAACTCAGACTGTCACCAAATAAAATAAAAAGGGCCAGATGGAGTCAGTGACAGAGCACCCCGAGCACACGCGAGGCTCGGGTTCAACCCCAGTTTTGCAGAAAGAAAGTGAACGCTGATTTGAGAAAGGCCATTTTCCCAGCACACAAGGGCCTTGGGGACCGCCCAGGCCGCCTCTGTGCAGGTAAGCCCACCTCTGGTCGGGGCGGGCAGATGCCAGAGACCCTGGAAGCCACAAAGGGTACTTTTATATACAGGTGAGAAGGGAGACACTTCTCCCCCACGCCACGACCTCTCCCTCCAAGGCAGCCACCACCCTGGAGACGACCCAGGGGCGCTCAGGGCCTAGCACTCTTGCTCGGGGGTCTGGATTCTCGGTGCTGTAAGGTTCATCCTGTTGTCGCCTGTAGTTTCTGCAATTCATTCCCATGTACTGCCCAGTGGCGTCCCTCAATGGACGCAGACAGAGGTCTGCTGCAGGGCGTTTGGGGCTCCCAGTTTCTGGTTGCTATGAATGAACCTGCTGTCAGCCAGACACAGGGTTTTGGGGAAAAGAGGGTACTACTTAGGGGAAAGCTGGGTCACAAGAAAAATGTTTGACTTTACTGGAAACGAAGTTCCCTAAAACGCTTCACACTTGACCTTGCCATCAGGGGAGGCTCTAGTTGCTGCAGATTCTCCATCAACTTGGGTGCTTCGGACTAACTAGTTATTCTACCTGCACAGAGGGCTTCCTCCTGGGATTTTCTGACAACGAATGGCACTAAGTCCCTTCCTGGCTCTTTGGCCAGTCACCTTCCTTTGTGAAGTGCCCATTTTTATCTGGGCCATTATTTTCCAGTCCGAGTTACAGATGCTCAGTTGGATGAGAAACTGCAGGGTCTCTCCCAGCTGGTGGCTTGTCTCCTCATGGAGGGTTGAGTGACATGAACCAGGACTAGGTTGTACAAGGGTCCCTCCAGCGCAGCTTGGATTGGAGAGTGGAGGGAAGCCTGGGAGACAAGTTTAGGAACTTTGGCAATGGCCCAGGTAAGAAATGACATTGCCTCTGACCACAAGCAGCGGTAGACACTGTGAGGTCAGACTCCAGATATACTTGAAGGTATCACTGACAGGATTTGCTGATTGATGGGACTGAAGTCACTGGAGGAAGGGAGTGTGCTTGCTGAGATGAAGACAGGCAGGTTTGGAAGAAGAAGAGCTGGGAAGGAGCCTGCCCTGGACACGAGACGCTCGAGATGACCGTCAGCTGAGGCTGAGTTCATAGCTGGATGGGTGAACCTGGAGCTGGCTCATGTATAAAACGGGGATCACCTGAGCACAGCTACTGAAAGTCATCTCCAGCAAGATGAGTGACAGCGACCAGATGGGTAAGGAGAGGCCTGAGACTGCTCGGCCCTCCAGGCCCTCCAGCAGCTGAAAGCTGGAAAGAGGGCCGAGCCACCCGGGAGGCTGGTGGTGTCTGGAGGCCACGCGAAGATGGCACTCCAAGCAGGAGGGAGTGACACCGTCCGAGATGGCTAAGCAGGAGAGCACTGAGGAAAGAGCCCCAGAAGAGGTAACCGAGCACTGGTGCCTCCTCAGAACACCCCAAATCAAAAACCACATTAAAAGGGAGTGTTTCCACGAAGCCAAGAGGGGAAGCAGCCCAGGCCCTGGGTGGGAAATGAAAGGATTCAGTTTCTAACATGTGACCCTCCCTGTAGTGACATGAACCAGACTCGAGTTCTCAGAGGGTCACTGGCTTGGATCAGCATGAAAGGTCGAGGGAGGCAAGGAAGTCAAGAAAAACCTGGCTCCGTCAGCAGCTTTGAAACAACTTTATTAGAAGGCTGTTTGAATGACAACTTCCAATTCTTTAATCTGCTTTTTGACAAATTCCAGTTATAACTATATATTTATATATGACAATTTTTGCATTGATCTTTGCATCCTATTTAAATTGTCCTCATCAGGCCATTCTGGGGAATGGAGGTGCAAATGTCAAGTGGCCAGCTGACCAGCATTACCAAGCAAGGGCAGCTGTGGGCTTCGAGGGAGGGTCCCACTTCCGGGCTGGGGTGGGGAAATGGCCACCCTGTCCTCCAGCCCTACCCCCTTGTCACAAGCTCAAGATCAGCGGCATCTCACTACCCTGTCATTCAAAAAGGATGAAATAAAGAACTCCTCCCTGTCCAGGCAAGATTGGGACTGTCACCCACCCATGGCTGGGATTTTTCACCTGCCCCACCCCCTCCAGGTCTCAGGCCTCCTGGGGACAAGCTGCCGACGCGCTAAGGGATGCATTCTCCATAGTCGGGGCTTCTCCCCTCGTCTTCCTGTCTCCAGTCCTGAGAGGAACTTCTTTGGACAGACCAGACAGGACGCTGGTGTGGGCCCAGGAAGGGTCACTCCCGAGGCCCTTCCCTCTTCTCCCCCACCCCCACCAGGTGGAGATGGAAAGGTACAATCAACCAGGAACATAAATATGAATAAAAAATGAACTTGAAAATGATGAGCTATTAATTAAACAAATCTATAAAAATAGGACATAACTCTGTTCAAATAAATACAAAATAAATAGGCTCCAAGCAGTGTGCTGTGTCGCATCAGTGGAATGTGAGCTGGTCCCACCTCACCCCCGCTGGGATGGACACGAATCCCTGGGGGGTCAGCAGACCTCGTGCAGTCCAGCCACCCACTCCCCATCTTCCTTGGGGAGCAAGGAACAGGGCACTGCCCAAGCTGCCTCTCCAAGACCCTCCCCAGCAGCACAGGACCAGGGCCTTCTGCCCATCCCTCAGCAGGGCGGATACGGGGCAGAAACTCTGCTCTTGGCAATAAAACATGACCGGGCACTGCCCTTATGCCACAGAGTGGGGACGAGGAGTTCGGTTTTGGTGCCAGTCCTGACAGTCTGGGCCAGCTCAGAGCACAAGACCAAGGCACCGAAGCCAGGGGACTGCAGGTCCAGCACGAGCTCCCCAGTCACGCTGCAGACCAGGCAGCGCGTACGCCCAAGCGCCCTCTGTGAGAGCTCAGAAACCCAAGCAGGACCCCCCATCTTCCTGGGCCACGCCCTGTGCTGACACAGCAGGTCGGAGGTGGGTCTGAGAGGCAGGCAGTCACCTCTCATGGCTGGGAGTGGGCTGGTGGCCCTACTCCTACCACAGCGAATCAGGGGGAGGGACGCAAAACAGGCACAGGAACACTCAGTGGGCCAGCGGCAGGGCCGGGCTGTGGGGACGAGATGGAAGAGCAAAGCTATCCCCAAGCTCGCTATGTGGCAGGCGCTGCAGGAAACGTCCTGTGCCTAGGCGCATGGGCCCGGGTCCTGCTGACCCCTGGACCCTGAGGAAACTCAGGGACCCTCCCTGGTACGGTCACGAGGGTCTGCAGGTCAGCAGGACAAGCCGAGGCCTGCCAGTCTCCCCGCCCCTCCCTGCGCACTGCCAGGTTTCACAGCTTGGCTTAAGTCAGCTTAGTGTTGTCGGCACATTCACAGAATGAGATGGCTGGACACCCTGGCTGCAGCCAGGGTCAGCGAGTCCACCTGCCCTCGGTCACCGTGACTGCACACCCAGAGTGATCTTAAGGTTCTCGTACACCACGTAGCTGATGCTCACGGCTGGAATCACCTTCATGAAGTTGGGGGCTAGTCCCCGATACAGCCCAAAGGCCCCTTCGGTCCTCAGGATCTGTCTGAAAAGGCTGCTCATGGTCACCTCGGGAGCGCCCTCGATGGAGGCTGCAGAGAGAGGCCAACAATCAGCTGTCTTCTGTTGGCCCTCCCAACCTGCCTGGGAGACGGGGACTGGTCTGGGACTGGGCTTACCTTGTGCCTGCATCCGAGTCCTGACCAGGGCCAGTGGGTAGCTGGCCAGCTGGCCACAGGTGCTGGATATGGTGCCGCAGGCCAGGAGCACGAACACGCCGGGGTCTGCGCTGTTCACCGCGTAGCGCTGCAGCCAGGCATTCTTGAGCGTCTGTGGAGGGAGGAACGGGTTGAGCCTGGAGACAGCTGGCGTGGAGTCAACTGTGGGGCAGTCACTGGACCCACACCGAGATGTTCCTATCACGCAGGATCCACAGGGCTGTGTGGCCTGGGCCTGGCCAAGTTCCTGGCCAGCCTGACCCTTCTTTCACTATGGATTCTGGCTGGGACAAAGCAGGGATGAGGCAGAGGGAGACCCTTCCCCACACAGCCCCCGCTGCAGTGTCCTCAGCCTGTGAGCCGCTGAGGCACAGCCGCTGGCAGGGTGACAGGAGTAAAGAGGTGAGACTGCCTCCTGTCCTAACCGCCCTGGGGTCCACCAGGGAGACAGCAGGGGAGGGCATGGGTCGGAGGCAGGAGTGGAACCTTTTGCCTGCTCCTGGGACGGGAGCCCTCTAGGGCCTTACCTCATAGACGGCTAGGTCGATGCCCGCATAGGGGATGATCCCCAGCATGTTGGGGACATAGCCTTTGTAGAAGGCAGCCACCCCCTCTCTGGCCAGGATCCTCCTGGCACAGTCCAGCATGCCCGAGTACTGGCCTGTCTTCCTCAGGGCCATCCGGGTCTTTAGAACCTGCAACAGGAGTGGTGGGGCATGAGCACGACCCTCCTGTCCCCACACCATGTGCACTACGACACGCCCCCGTCCAGGCGTCCTCTTACCTCCATAGGGTAGATGCTGCTCTGGGCAATGGCCCCGGCCAAGGAACCCGCCACAAGCCTCTCATGGATTCTTAGCGTTTCCTGGTCGCTACCAACAAGACGCTTGATCTAGAATAGGGAGAAAACAAACCAATGTACCCAGAGAGCACAGCTCCTGCTGCTCCCCCAAGCCTTCCCCACAGAGCTGTTCAGATGTGCCTGAGACTGGTGGCCCTGACCCATTTTAAGCTGCCCAGAAATGGAAGAAACTGGCCCAAAGTGAACTGGCAGCAGAGCCAGGCCCAGATCTCCTGCCACCCCTTGCTGTGCCCTGGGTACAATGACTGGCTCCAGATTCAGGGATCATAGACTAGGGAACCTAGTCCCTATGCAGATGCTCGCTGACCGGGCCCTTACCTGCTCGTAGGCCATGAATTTGATGGCCGACTCAGGGGCAATTTTGAGGACATTGATGCCATTGCCCCGCCAGAGTGACTTGGCCCCTCCCTCTCGAATCATCTGCGTGAATCCTCCCACGATGCACATGTTGTTGCTGCGGGAGGCGTGCACCTGAGGGGGACAAGTGATGAGTGGGACTGGGTGGAGCATGGGCTGCCTGTCTACCGGGGAGAGCCTCTTCCCTACTGGGAATCTGAAGAGCAGCTTGGTACCATGAGACTCAAGTGTGACTAATTCTGGTTTAGACTCAGCTAAAGTTTACACCCTCACAAGGACTATTTTTTCTCTTTTTGTGCACTACTGATGATGGCACCAGAGCCTGGTGCGTGCCAGGCAAGAGCTCTACCACTGAGCCGTGGTCTGCCCACGAGGAATACTTTTTTAAAATTAAAAACAAACAACAAAACCCCATCGAGCTTTTGTTCATGGAAAATGTTCAAACATATATATCTCAAAGTAGATAAAATTCCACGACGCGCCTCCATAGAGCATGCTCAGCTCACACTAGGCCCCTCTACTCCCCTCTCAGTGACACTAGGTCCTCTACTCCCCTCAGTCACACGGGGCCCCTTACTCTCCCTGCTCACCCCGGGGCTGGCTCCAGATTCAGGGATCATAGACTAGGTCCCTCCCACGCACCACGCCCTCTCACCCAAGGGCTGCTCTAATCTCTAGACATTCCTGGAAATTCTGTTAAACCGGTGAGGCAATTGTTCAAGCCCTGTATTTTCACTGAGGTCCTGGGAGGTGAAGTGCACATCAAGGGCACAGGGCTGGGAGGGAGGGGGTTGGAATGTGAGCCCAGGGCTAGCACTTCTTTTCCTGGACCACTCCAGTCCCCAGAGTTCTGGAGGTCGAGGGAGATCCCAGTTAGCCGTAACGCTCACAGCGGGGCCAGGGGGGCCAAGGGGCGGGGAGGGTGCCCTTTCTTTCTTTTTTTTTATATATATATATATATTTATTTTCTAGTTTTCGGCGGACACAACATCTTTGTTTGTATGTGGTGCTAAGGATCAAACCCGGGCCGCACGCATGCCAGGCGAGCGCGCTACCGCTTGAGCCACATCCCCAGCCCAAGGGTGCCCTTTCTGAGAGGGCTCCAGGCATGAAAAGTGCCAGATGCAAGCCAGTGGACAGAGGGTGATCAGCTGCTGTTCAGACAGACATCAAAGTCCACCAGAGTGTCCCCATTTCACAATTCTTCCTTTGACATCAGTGAGCTTATCTCTGCCCTGTGGACGTGGAGCTGCACACCCAGCCAAGGTAGGGTGCTGCTTCCAACTGGCACCTGGGTCAGGTGAGGATCTGCTTGCCCCCCGCCCCCCCATGGATGAGCTGAAGGGAATCAGCTCCTGCCACACCAGGTGTCACTAGCCTCATTGGTCCCCGTTAAGCTGCTGTAAGGTGATGCCTGGCTTAAGGGCCTGAGATAAAATTAGATCGGCTATACACGAAATGTCACCTAGGCCGGGATCTGCTGGGACTTGGTCTAAGAAGTAATTCCAATCTGACTTACTACTGAGCCACAGCAGGGATCCAGCCAGGGGAAGGAGAAACTAACCGACCAATAAACCCCAGGGTGAAGAATCAGGTGTGGGCCACTGTCCTGCTCACCTGCATGAGCACCTTCAGTCTGTCCAGCGGGGCGGTGCAGGTTCTGGAAACGGCCCCTGCCCCACCTCCTGCCACCAGGTGTCTCCACCACATCCCTGTCTGCCTCTCCTCCACAGTGAACTCGTCAGGTACCGTCAGATTCTCACCCACATCAAAGATCTGTGAGAAAGACCAGCAGAGTTCACCAGCTTGGCTCAAGACACAGCCATCGCCCACCATCCCGAGTGACCATGGCGCAGGGGACCACGTGAACCATGAGAACGTGGCGAATCTGGGTAGAAGGCACACTAGGGCTCTTCCCTGTCACTCTGTGAACCTGGCAAAGGTCTCAGCTTGCCCATGGCTCCCAGGTAGACAACTGAGGCGAGCACAGCTGGACGGGACCAGTTACACAACCTTTGGACAGCACTTCTCACCTGCTAAAAGGGACTTCTGTGGGGATCCCAGGCGACAGGGCTGAAAGATCACATAAGGGGTAAAAATCCTTCTGAACCCTGATGTGTAACTGGATCACGCTGGCAGAACATTGTGTAAGGCCTCAGCAAACAGGGCTGCGTTGTCTGCGGACTGTACTCTGGGTAGCACTTGGGCTGGTTTGAGCCAGTCCTGCCCTGACCCAGGCTGCAGCCCGAGATAGGAGCTGGCTGCGCTGAAGCTGAACTCGGGAGCCGGACTCACTTTCATCCAGCAAGCCCTGGCCTGGTCTGTGGTCCAGGGTGGACAGGACCACACTCCAGGCAGGACTGGCTGGAGAGACAAAGCAAGTGGTAAGGGGTCTGGTCTTGGGCAGGGGGGTCAGCACAGATCCACATCTACTTGGAACCACACTGACGGGTACAGGGCCATGTGCCAGCTGCTGTGGGGACATGCTCATTTGCTATAGAGAAGCCACAAAGAATAGGGAAGCAGGGTGCACGCAAGAGCGGTCTGTGTCCTCCACAGCGTCACTTCTCCCCACCCCTGGGGAGGATGATCACGTGGCTTTGGGAGAGGAAGGAGCATCAAGAAAGGAATGTCTGAAATGCACCTTGATGCCACAGGTGGCATTTGGGGACAGAAGGGACTCCCAGCTAAGGTAACTGTGTACCTGGGGGACAACTGGGTTGTTTGGGTTGCTGGTGTGTGAGAAACCAGGAGGGGGCGGGTATGGCTGGCTCTACTGGGCTGGCAGTGGAGGGGACAGTACCGCTGCTGAAGATGGGGCATGGGGGAGCCCACTCCAGCCCTGGGGACAAAAGACAGCTGGTGCTGGGTAGAGGACCTGTGGGGACAGCAGAGGAAGTGCCCTGGTGGGAGGGCCTCACCGTGGAGTGCTTCCAGTACAGGATGATCTCGGGAATGTTCTCCACGGGGTGCAGCAGGTGGTAGTCCCTCCACTCGTTCCAGTCGATGGTCATCGTGCCGTTCTTGTCCATGCTGCGAGACAGAAGGCGCCCCTGTGTGATCACGCCCCATCTGCCAGCGCATATCCACCTCCAGGCACGCTGAGGCAGGAGCAGAGGGCTCCTCATGCCCTTGAGAAAGGGCTGAGGAGCTATACGGCCCACCGTGCCTGGCCCACAGCACCCCGCACCCATCAGGCACGGAAGCTAAGGAAGGAGGCGGTCACAGGGCAACATGGATACTTACTAGGTGACAGGGCCCCAGAAATGGCCCGTGCGTATTCTGACAGACAGACAAAGGAGGAAGCAGAGGAGAGAGGAGAAACACACATATAAGTGCTCTGAGCAGCCGTCAGCGCTGCAAGCACACACCCACAGCGCGACGGCCAGCACGACGCAGCACGAGCCCCCCAGTGACAGGCCCCAGGAGCACGAGGAACGAGGGCTGCTCCTGTGGCCCAGCTTTCAGCCCCAGGAGTTGGGAAAGAGCCAGGAGAAGCGAGGTCCCGGGCTACGTCCTCTGGCTTCCCAGAGCCCCTGCCCGCCAGGGAGCTCTTTCGGAGCAGCCTGAAGTCTCCCCAGGTCAAGTCTCCCCAGGTCAAGGCCACTCAAGCCCCATCTCCTCCAGCCCGGGCAGAGAACATGTTCAAGGGACGCCTTTCACAACTTGAAATTCCCCCCAACTAGTCTTTGAGCTTCATGGTCACGATGAATGGGGGAAATTCCAGGTGATCCGTGATTCTCAAAGGGGAGCTGCCTGGGCGGGCCACTCAGCCATCCTCTGCAACCGCGAGCCAAGCTCTCTGGACAGTGCACAGCCCCGCGGCTGCCTAAGCCAACCAGAGGCTGCCAGGCACTCACCTCTTGAGAATCTTTTCTGCCTGCTGCTCCGAGATCTTGACTCCCAGGTCCCTCAGGGACTGCATGATCTCCTGTGCATCGATTCGTCCTGTAACGACAAGGGCCATGGGCACAGGCTGGTCAGGTGGTGGGGTCAGGGCTGGCCAGCTGGGATTTGCAAGTCAAGCTCACCATCATTTTTCTTGTCCAAACTTTTGAACACCAGCCTCAGTTTCTTCTCATGGTCTTGGAGGTAATGGACGAACTCTTCAAAGTCCAGCTGCCCATCCAGGTCTTTGTCACCAGCTTGCACAATTTTCTAGAAGACAAAAGTAAGATTTTTTATTTTAGCTCATGCTCCAGCCTTTCCTTGGCTCATGGGGCCCTTCCCCAGGAAGTGATTCCACTCATCTAAACCAACGTCACCCCAGAGACCCAAGATGCCTTTGTCTACCTCCATAGCCACCACAGCAATTTACTCATACGCCAGAGCCACCACTTAGATCCCTAGGGGCTCATCTTGCTAGCCTGAGGAGCAAAGAGCCCCCAGGAGGAATCCTTCAGATAGAGGCCAGCGGGCCAGCCTGGGGTCTGTTCCTCCCAAGAATTCTTGAGACAAGCCTGTCACACAGCCTGGGTCAGCTGCTTGGCTCCCCTACAGCTTGGCCCTAGTACCAGGCCTCAGCCCTGAGTTCCCTGCCAACAGGTGGCTGGCTCTGGAATCCAAATTCCCTCAGGAACTCTGAGGCTTTGCTCTTTTTACCTGCCCCTCCCTCTCCACCAGTGGCATTGGCCCAAGAACAATTTGGTGGCCAGGGTGAAGGTACGGAGCAATGCCCGCTCGGCAGAAACACTGCCAGGGACACTCTGGAGGTGGCAGAAGACACAGGAACCAAAAAAGGGTGACTATTCTTGGGCATGGGCTCTTGATGGCACTGCCAGTCCCTGGTTTCAGGGACATCAGATGATATAACCAACCCCAGCTCTCCTAACCAGGCGCTGAAAACCAGACTAGCTCTAATAATTGTTTAGTGGCCCGAGAGGCCTTTAAGAGACCCTGTTCCTTGGCTGTGAGGTTCCAAGACTCTGCACCTGTCTCTGTGCTGGATGTTCAACAACTGGAATTTCTCCACAAAAAAAGCAATCCTTTCCTGGAGCTTCCCGCTGCCACTAAATTGCTAAATGCTACTGAAGCCTCTCCAACAGCTCTCGGAGGCTGGGTCTATCATTCCCCCATGTTACAGAACAGGAGTTCAGAGAGGCAAAGCATTTACTTGAGTCACACAGCCAGGGACATGATGGGCAGATTCAAGCTGGGCCTGTTGGGCTTCTGAGCCACCTCCCTACAGGTTAATGTCAAGAAGGTGGAGGCAAACTTGAGTCACTCCAACTCAGCAACACCCAGAATGTAAACTAATAATCTCTTGAGAACAGTTATGTCTCCCTGTGTCCCTGATTCTCCCAAAGAGAAATCCATCATTCTCTATAAATCAACACAGGTCTCGAGTCTTTTGAGTCTGCTGGGGTCTAGGAATCGGTAGACCACTGGTTAGCCTGTGCTCTCACAGAGTGCCATCATGGTCTCCCTCTCAGATGTCCTGAGCCCCTGATGGGTGTGAGGCCTGGGCACATACCCTGTGACTGACGTGATCGCTAGAGCAGTGCATGCAGCACAGCTGGAAAGTGGGGCAGCTGTAGGTGGGTACTTCCTCTGCCATCTGGGGTTACATTCGCTCCTGCTGACTTGGGCTCTCACACAGAGTGACAGAAACTCTGCATGGGGCTCCAATTTCCAGCAGGAATGGGCCTATAGCCTACGTGCTATTTAAGGAGGAGCTGAACATTATGCACAGAACCTGGTCCCCAAGCTGCCTGCTACCAGAATGAGCCATGCACTTCATTGGGCTGGGTGGCCTGGGATACAGACAACTCAAAACTGTGCTCATTGTAGCCAATTTAAAAACATTCTCAAAGAGCTTGCTTCTGCCTCAAAACACTGGCCTACCTTGTCTCCTTCCTAGGACACGCACCCCCCCATGCCACCAGAAGCACTGAGGGACAGCATGAGATCCGATAAAGCCCAGGAGGCAAGCGACCCCCTAGACCCTGTAGCTTAGACTCAGGCTCTCTCAGCTGCTGCCCTGCTCCTCCAGGACATCGGAGGGTCTAGAAGGCACGAAAGCTCCCTCCCCACCCCTCTGTACCCAGGGCACAGTGCTGCCAGCTCCAGCCTCACAGGGGCACGGTCAGCTCTTCTCTGTGGCAAAGTCCCCAAGTTATGAGCCTCCAAAGAGAAGCCTCTAGGCCTCTCCCCTCACGTCCTTCCTGGCCTCCACCCCCAGTCCAGAGAAGCAGTCCGCAGCAGCTGGCCAGCGCCAGCTTCTCCCCAGCTCTGTACCTCTCAGGAAGCTCCAGCTTAGCCAAAGGGACTCTACCCCAAGATTCCCACAAGGGCCTCCCTAGAATTCCAGACTTACTTGGAAGTCAAGAGAAAACCAGCCACTCCAGCCACAGCCACCTCCCACATTTCAGACATTCTTTCTGGAAGGCAGGGCGGTGCAGTTCAGCCCACTAGCCCACTCTGGTGTCAAGGCCACTCTCCCATTCACTCAACAAAGGCCACCGCCACACAGACCTGCTTCCACTGGCGGTAGGTGGAGAACTCCTGAGAAGGAATAAAGACGCTGAGTTTGAAGATGGACTTCAGCTCAGCGGGAAGCCCCTTGGACTCAAAGTACTGGAACTCAGTCTGGTCCTCCCCGATGAGTGGCACATACAGGCACAGGCAGAGCATGCTGGCAGATGGTGCTCAGCTGCCCCTGGAGCAAGTGCTGGCAGCGTCCAGAATGGGGAATGCCGCATCCCGGGAAACTCACACACAAGATATGCCGGTGCTTGGCTGCCATTGGCTGCTCAAGCCCTGCCCTTTTACTTAATTGAAAAAAATCCACCCACTCCAAGTATAGCCAGCAGCCAATGAGCACAGGCCCGTGACAGTGGCATCAGGTTGCTTAAGCGCAGAGGAGCAAAGATCAGGACTGACGTCACTATTCCCTGTATTAACTCCTGGAAAGGAGGACCCTCCCCAAACAAACCTTCACCCCCTGGCTGCAAATCCTTCCCAAGAACAAATACGCTACAGCCGGTCTTCGCGCAAGGTCCCCAAATGCGTCACTCTATGCAACATGTCCCTTCCCCTAGTAAATCATTCCCATCAAAAATCAGTGCAGGTAGAGACAGAATCAATACCTGCAGGGGCCACTGTAGCTACAGGATAGGAGACAGGTCCCCCGCCACACTGGACACAGACCCTCCTTGAGCCCGCTCATTAAACAGGGCAGGGGTGGGGCTGCCTGACTGGCCAAGCCCTGGCCTTGGGTTCTGGCTGACTTCTGCTCAGAGCGCCACCGGCCCTACACAGCCCACGGTACCCAGAGCCTGAACACTTTCCGGCCATCTGCAACATAAGCACTTAGGAACCAACCTGTGAGCCTACAGGCTTTTCCAGGGGTGCCAGGAGCACCAAGGAGCTGAAATGATGGGACCAGGAAAGGAGAACACTGCAGAGTCCAAAGATCCTGCTGAGTGACTTCCAAGGAATATCATATCCAAGGTACTACGGAACGCACGATCTCCAATGCTCATGTCCACTCAGAACTCCAGCAAGCTTGGTATGGTGGTAGCTTTCAGGCCCAGAACTTTGCTATTCAATATGCAGACCTTCTAAAACTCAGTTCCTCAGTGGTATGTCCATACTACAAGTGCTGGATCGCCAATGTGTGGTCACAGGGCATTTCCATTATCAAAGAAACTTACACCAGGCCACCCAGATTTAGAAAGACGCTTTCAGAAAGAGAAACATCTCAGGTCCTGGAAAGACCTGGTATAGAGGATGATCTCCCAGGCCAGCCTACCCTCTCCACTCTGTTCTCTCCCCGCAGATCCATGCTGCGGAGGAAGAGACCACGTCACCAGGATGAGAACGAGACTGGCCCCACCCTCGTTCCTTCTACAGTGTACCACTTCCTAATATAGACTGCATCTTCGCACGCCCGGAATGGATAAAAATGGATAGCTATCATTTGAGGATCAGCAAAACTAAAAGGACTTCCCAACTCACTGCGAAACTTTGTTAAGAACCTGGAAGAAGGGCTGGGGACATGGCTCAGTGCAGAGCACCTGCCTAGCATGTGGCAGGCCCTGGGTTCCAACTCCAGCACCACCAAAACCAAAACCAAAAGAACCTCTGGAGAGGATTCTGGAATAAGATGCTGATCTTCTGCAGAACCCTATGAAGCAGATTATAACAAAGAAAAGGATGTCCTCTTAAGACAGGCCTGAGGACTGGCCTATAAAAGCAGGCCACAGACTGCACCGGGACCAATCTGATTATCCAGACAGATTCCTGCACAACCTGCACTAACGCCATGACACTCAGGTGGCCCTTCAGCTGCTCAGGGCAGAGTGTTCTGCTCTGGAGCTATTGGAACACACCTCTTATCTCTTCAGCTGGAGTCCCTGGAGGCAGAAGGCTACTGGTCTCTCTGCCGGCACTGCCTGTGCCTGGATCCCAGGAGGGGCTTCACTGGCGGCTCCTGAATGGAGGGAGCATGCTCTGAGGCCCCAGGAAACACACACAGAGCCACTCACCTCACAGACCTGTTTTTCTGGGCATCTGCAAATTGAGCTGTCAGGGCATTTTTTCCAACTGAACAACACCAGGTATTATTTATTTCAAAGGAAGCTCACATTTATAAATAAATAAAATTGGATCTTAATATGCTAGTCTTCCTTTGTTAAATTATTTATGGTCACATCTGAGTGAAGATAAGTTACACAGACCTATTGAAGTATCTCATTTTAGTGAAGACTATGTATTTCAATATAAAAGAAAAATGACTAGGGCTGGGGTTGTGGCTCAGAGGTAGAGCACTCGCCTAACATGTGTGAGGCACCACATAAAAATAAAATAAAATAAAGGTATCGTGTCCACCTACAACTAAAAAATAAATGTTAAAAAAAAGAGAAATTATTAGGGCTGGGAATGTGGCGCAGTGGTAGAATGCTTGCATAGCATGCACAAGGTACAGGGTGCTACCAAGAAAAAAAAAAAAAGAAGAAAGAAAAGAAAATATTGACTCAATTGACTGAATAATTAAGTTAAACTAGATATATTTGTTTCCTAATAAAGTTTATTTTTCAAATAATTTTGGTAAGCCATTGGGGTTTATGATGTACAGAATGAATCTGAGAAGATATCTGAAAACTATACTAAATAAAAGAAGAGCCTGTGATTTATATTGTAAGACAATTATTAAAGTAAATCAAATTAGAACAACTGTTTTCTAGAAAAGAAGGAAAGATGGTGTCGTGGACACACCTGTAATCCCAGGGACTTGGGAGGCTCGGGCAGGAGAATCCCAAATTTGAAGCCAGCACACGCAACATGGTAAGACCCTGTCTCAATAAAAAGGCAGGCGGGAAGTGGAGGCTGGAGATGTAACTGAACGGTAAAGCACCCCCGGGGTTCAATCCTCAGTACCCGCCCCCCCCCCAAAAGAATCTCCATTATAACAAAGTTTGTTACTCTTCACAAACTTGTAGTTTAACAGTTTCAGGGGACCAGGAAAAAGTTTCTAAAATGTTCTGCATGTACCCCTCAATATGTCATTTTACAAGGCTAACATCAATTCTATTCCAACAGGAGTTTTCATTTTGCTATGCTGGGCTTGCACCCAGGTCCTCAAGTATGTGAGGCAAGGGCTCTACCCAGAGCCCTGCCCGCTGTCCTGGCTTATTTACTTAAATTCTATCCTACTGAATTTCACAGGTAATTCAGAATTCCATCTGCACACAAAAGCTGGGGATTCTTCCCAAAAGAGCCAATGTCTAACTGCCCAGTGTCCAAGGCAATAGCTCTACCACCGGATTTGCAAACTGTGAGGCCCAAAGGGGTTCTGAGGCCATCCCCTTAGTCTCTGGGGTTGAGCAAACAGGCCTGGAAAGACGACCTGATTTGTCCAAGCCTGTTGGTGGCAGGGCTGAGGCTGGCAGACAGGACCAGGCTTCTGTTACAACATCCACTTAAAAGCATCCAAAACCGATACTGCCAAAAGAAGATTTCAGAGTTCAATTACCAGATACTGGGAGCTCAGGTAAGCAACACCTCATACTGGAAGGCGGCAGGTATATGGAAAAGGAAGAACCTGAGCAAGTTAGCCTTAGCTAGAAACAAGGAGAAACATCTGTCTCAGCTCTGGACGCATGTGAGAGCAGTACAAAGAAGCAGGAACGGCAGGCAGAGTCCCTCCTTCCACTGCACCTGGCTCATGGCGGCTAAGAGCACTGCACTGCAGATAATTCTTCTCTGCTCCCTTATTCTAATTTTGTGACCCAGATCTATTTGTTTCCTCCCATAAGATGTCCATTCTTATGCCTAGGATTTTGAGGCAATGACAGCAATGCTAGGTCCCTTAGAATTTGGTGGCACCTGAATTCATTTAATCTATAAAGGAGCAGTTCCTCTTATGAGCATCATTTTACCCTCGGATCTGTCAAGGCTACCTAACCAGCTTTCTTTGTCCTACCACTCAATTATGTGGCAAAACACGCACACACACACACGAAAAACCCAAGCCGGTACTTCTTGTAAGAGCCAGAATACAATGAGTAAGAATAGGGCAGGCACAGGGGCTTTGGGAGTGTAGCACACTACTCAGAAAGAACCTGCCTTCTCCTCTGCAATGACTCAGACCCATCCAGAAATATTAGTATGTGAAGGAGCCTCACTAGCATCCGGTGGCTCGAGCCCCACCCACCTGCAGGATCTTGAATCTCATTGGCTGCTACAGGGGCAGTGTCATTTGATGTTCAGGTTGCCATGACAGCCCAATATAGCTGGTTTCCAATGAAACTGCCTACACTTGGCAATTACACACAATGAACAAAATTCTCTGAGCTTCACAAGACAGCCCCTCAGGATTTGCAAGCTCGAATGCCATGAGGGCACCTCCCACTCCAGACTATAGCAGATTAACTGTAAGACAAGGATAATGGGGAAAACTAGAACGGTTCCTAAAATAAAAGCTGGTAGGAACCTGACTCACAAACAGAATTATTTACATGGGGGAAGTGAGAGCAAAACAAAGTAGTGCTACTGGACACTAAGGAGCCTGAGAACCAAACAGAACTTCTTTATAAGGTTTCCAGAACATTCTGGGGGCCTCTTCCTGAGGAGCCTCCAGGGCCTGCCTGGGAAGGGGCCCAGCAGGTCCCTTGTTCTGCATAACTGTTCCTGCTATTCAATTTACCTGCTTTCAAAGATTCTACATTACACAGATGTGTTTCTTCTTTTGCTTCAAATGAAACCAGCAGCTCCAGCTCCCTCTTGGGGCTCCCCTGACACCCAGCCAATTTATGTCCCTTTTGGGGAACAGAGTCATAGAAGGTGTGGGTCCAGGAACTAGGCTGTTCAGCACACAAAGTCCTACCTGAGGCAAACCTTGCGGGAGAGCTGGCAAGGGGTGCCTACAGGAGGCTGGGAATGGAGCCGTTTATTAAAGTCAAAAACCAGATGATTAATTGAAGTCAGCTGGCTAATCCAGGCCATAAGCCAAGCAGAGGCACAGATAAAAGTTCCTCATAAAGACGCCATTTCCAATGTTGTAAGATTGAGTGAGAGGTAGCAAATGACACCTCAGTAACACATGAAGCCTGCACATCTCGGGCATGACTGACTCTGGGAGACCCTTGACCACTGCAGAAATCCCACCTAGGTCTAGGGGTTCTCCTCATTGCCAGTGCACACACCACTGCAGGAGTCCCTCTCCAGTAAATAAATCAATAAAGCATCTATTTCTTGAATGTAGCAATTCAATTCAACAAATCTCTGGGCTATCTACAGTGCACCAAACACAATGTTAGAATCTCTTTCCCTTCTCCAATTGAGGAAGAAGAAAGATTAAAAATAACCAAAGCTCAGGAGGTAAACAAGGTCACTCCAACCACACATTTTTAATCTCTACTCCAATCCTGGGAACTCAATCAGTCTCATTAAGCACTGCTTTCTTAAGGGACAACAAGGAGTACAGGGCAAAGTTCAAGACAGACTTGGGGTTCAATTCTCATTCCTTAATGGTTTAACCCTGGGTGAACTAGTTAACCTTCCTATGCCTCGGTGTCCTCATCTAGAAAATGGGAGTGCTATCATTCACTTGGCTTTTTGTGAGGACCTGGCACTCAGTGACCCTGGGTGTCTGATCATCCAGAAAGGGACACTAGGCTCTGCACCTCTTGACTCTAGACTCTCCTGGGACCCAACCTCCTCCCTTCACTCCTCCTCCTGAATCCAAAAGTAAAATGGGTCCCACCAAAGCAAGGAGAGTGTGACCTTCCAGATGCCCATGAGACTTGTTTCCAGCTCTAGGCCACGGGTCGCACTTTTAAGGTACACTCTCTGGCCCTTTTAACTTGTTCTCTTTGCCCTGTTCAGACAAGCAAGGGCAACACACTTCAGTCTGTCCCTTACTTTCAAATGATTTTCTGAAGCCAAACTGATGAACCCTAAGGTGAATCTGTTGAATCAACCTGACCTCCCTCCACGCCATGCGGGTGGTCGTCAAGGGGCAGGAAAGTTTTTATAGGCAGAGAGTTTGGACTGAGGGTGAGGGATTTTTCACTGCCTAATACATCTTTTTGACCCAATACCAAAATGACTTTTTTTTAAAAAAGTTTTCTCTTTCCCACCCCCAATTTTTTCCTCCAGGAAAATGATCCCAGACAAGCCCCTAAACTAAGAGTTCTTCTCCAGGGTGGGTTACCTTAGGAAACTGCTCTGCAGGTCCAACCACCAGCAAAATGGTGGGTCTCTTTTCGGTGGCCTCAGCCCTTCCATCTTGTTTCCCAAAAAAGCTTGACATCTGGTTACCCGGAGCAGGAGCCTGGGTGCCTCTGACTTCATGATCCGTGCCCTCTCTGGAGTCCTGGCACCCAGCCCTAGGGAAAAAGCTAGACAGAAACTGCCACAGCATCTGCAGCATCCCGGCTTCCTCCAAACACCACTGATGGTGACCGTCCACTTGGAGGGATGTGACCACAATACCAAGGGTCTCTGGCTACACAGCTGCTTGGAGGCCTAGCCTGGGGAGTTCTCAGGCGGGAAGCTCTGCATGCAGGGGCTGTTTCCTGCTATTTCAAATTCACTAGCACTGCTGTCGTGCCTGGCCTGAGAAGTAGCTCACTCTAAAGGGAGCCTCCTAGGCTGCTGGCAATAAGGACAGCAGCTGGGCTTCTTCAATAAAACTCACTTCTACAGGTGGCCAGTGATCAAAGGTTTAGCTTAAAAAAAAAAAAAAAAAAAAGGAGGGGGTAAGGATAAAGCAATAGCCAAACAGACCTCTCCTGGGGGCAAAAGCAACTTGGAGCTCGCAGTCATTCAGCCGCCGGCGCTCTCCCCCAGCCCCGGCCGCCCATCCAGTCTGCAACCTCACTGCAGCAGGGCCGGGCCAATCACCTCTGCCGACACTACCAAGTTCATTATCCCACCAGCACCAGCCCTCCAATCACAGGCGGCGGATTTCCTGCCTGCAGCTCGGCAAGTCCGCAGGGAGGTGCAGACGCAAGCTCCAGATGAGGTTCATCTTACAGAATCCACCCAGCCGGCTCGGCCGCTGCGGTAACTTCCCAGTCTGCTGCCGCCGCACCGCAGGATGGCGCAGGATGGTGTTCACCAAGTTCAACGTGATCAGGAGTCCTTGGCAACACTTCCTAGGACAACCAGCAACACTTCAGTTCCACTCTCCAGTTTTCTCCAACCCATGCATGCCACGATCCACACCATACCACGGCTACTTCTCCCGTCAGCCTCTAGTCCACAGCACAGAGGCAGGGACCAGGTCACAGATTAAATCTAAACACCAAAATGGGTGAATCATCACAAGTAAGGGAATTCATCTTTGGTCATTTCTTAGTTTACCAGTAGACAAATGAAGTGCATCTCTCACAGAGGTGACCCTTTGATATGGGGTTCACAACCATTATTCTAAAAACAAATGTGAAAAAAGTTCAGTAAACTATGTTGGGGACAGTCCAGGGGCACATCATCCTCCTGCTGCTGTGAGGGTGCCCCTAAGTACAAGCCTCTGAAGAGCAATGTAGTGCCACCTGCCAACACTCCAAAAGCCTCAACTCCAGCAACCCCACTTGCAGGAATTTATCCTGTAGGGATATCTGGGAAATCATATAAATACAGTGAGGTGTTTTTGTTTTTTTGTTTTTTTTTTTTTTAAGTAACCTTGTTTATAATAGCACATATTTGAAAACAGCTTTTCTTTTGGTGGTATTGAGGACTGATTGGATCCAGGGGCTCTCTACCTCTGAGCCACATCCTCAGCCCTTTTTATTTTGAGACAGGTTCTTGCTAAGATGCCCAGACTGGCCTTGAACTTGCCATCATCCTCCTGCCTCAGCTGGGAATACAGGTGTGCGCCACTACACCCAGCACAACTTGGTTTTAAAAAGGGGAATGGTACATAAATCATGGTGCACCCATACAGAGAAGTGCTGCACAGCTGCTAAAAAGAGTACCACGATTCTTACAATATGGGCACCATTAAGGGATTCTATGAAAATAACAGGGCTCCTCAATGCTTGCTTTGAAAATGCTGGTGTCTGGGGGCTGGGGATGTGGCTCAAGCGGTAGCTCGCTCGCCTGGCATGCGTGCGGCCCGGGTTCGATCCTCAGCACCACATACAAACAAAGATGTTGTGTCCGCCGAAAAACTAAAAAAAAATAAAATATTAAAAAAAAAAAAAGAAAATGCTGGTGTCTGTATCAGCTGCCTCTCGATAAACAGAACAAACTTAGATAGGAAGCAGTTTTGTATGCTGATGGAATGTGCAGTCTTTGGATCCAAACATGATTGTGACAGTGTGACCTCATTTAAGTTACTCTAGCCCTCTGTGCCTAGCTATTCTTATACACAAAATGGGGAGAGTGACAGAACAGTTTTGTTATTTCACAGAGCTGATTAAAGACTAGACTAGCTAATACACAAAGCTCTCAGAGTACACAGAACACTCAGTAACTCATAGTTTATTGCTGAAATGAAGGACACAGTGCTGCTTTGAGTTCTCACCCACAAACATTAAGAAAAATCCCTTCTTTAGTAGGTTAGTGGCTTTTAACTGAATGGACTTCTCCATAACACGGAACTGGCTTCCAGCCAGCAGGGAGTACTAGGGACATTCACCTTTGTGCCCATAACAAGAAGCCCAGACAAAACAAGAAACAATGTCTTCAGGCCATGGACCACATGCAAGGAAGGACAGTGCTTCCTGAGAAATGCTCATGATAAGGCCAGCCCCAGTTTCCTGCCTGGAGTTTCTGGGCTACTGAGCAGACAGGAAGCCCAGGACAGTTAGAGTTCACGGGATAGGGAACTGAAGCGGACACAGCTGCACAGAGAGGGCTCTGGGGAGCAGCCCAGTGTCCTCCTGGGGTCACACTTGTATGAGGAAGCCGCCATTCAGATCACAGGGCTAAAGTCACTTCTGTTCCCACCAGCCAGATTAGAAAACCTCGCAATATAGGAAGGTGCAGGAAGGCCACTCACAGGATTCTGCTTCTGTAGTGGACCAAAACCAGCTGGGCTACTCCTCCATGCTGGGACTGAGCCCCGGGGGCCCTACCACTCAGCCACATCCCCAGCCCGTTTTACTTTTTATTTTGAGGTAGAGTCTCGCTAACTTTCCCAGGCTGGCCTCAAACTTGAGATCCTCCTGCTTCAGCCTCCCAAGCCCCTATTCTTATCCCACAAATCAAAACAAGCCCTGAAAGAGTCAAATTGTTTCCAAATAACTGCACCAAGAATAAAGCTCAAGAACATTTAGAGGAATACAAAAATGTCCAGTACTCAACAAAGTAAAGTCCAGTAAAAAATGAATAGGAATGCAAAGAAGCAGGAAAGTGTGACCCTTAACAAGATCAGAAATCAATCCACTGAAGCTGGCCCAGAAATGACAGGTATGGTAGGATTAGTGCAGATGTCACAGTTAATATAGCTGGGACGAGGGCTGTAGCTCAGTGGCAGAGCACAGGTGAGGCACTCGGTTCCATCCTCAGCACCACTTAAAAATAAATACAACTAAAAGTTAATATAATTGTAATTCATTATGTTCAAGAAGCTAAAAAGAGGGCTGTGGTAATGTTTGTGATAATGTCTGCCTGACGTACATGAGGTCCTAGGTTCGATCCCAACACCTTGATAGATAGATAGAAGCAGCAAATAAAGAGAAATGTTCAAGTATGTCAAACAGGCTCCGTAGATCTGAAGACTCTGGAGGAAAGCCACAGTGTCTGATGATTTTAACAGTAATGAACTTGAGGATAGCAACAGAAACTTTCCAATGAAACAGAAAAAAAAAAAAAAAAATGTGGGGACAGCAAAGAGACTAACACACCTGGAACTGGAGTCCTGGGAGGAGGGACTGAGGAAATATTTTAAAAAGCCAACCCCCACCCCCAGCAAATTTACTGAAAACCACAAATACATGCTTGACAAACCCCAACCACAACAAATATTAAAATAAACTAATCAGGCGCATTACAAGTAAATTTCTAAAAGCCAACAATAAAGAGGGAATCTTTAAAACAGCCAGAGCCGGGGAAAGATCCGTTATATACAGAGGAACAAAGCTAAGAAAACAGGGGCCTTCCTCAGACAGACAGCCCAGAAGTCCACACTCTGAAGACTTTTCACACATACAAAAACTGAAGGAGCCGGTCGTGGTGGCACAAGCCTGTGATCCCTTTGGCTCGGGAGGTTGAGGCAGGAAGATCTTGAGTTCAAAGCCAGCCTCAGCAACAGCAAAGTACTAAGCAACTCAGAGAGACTCTGTCTCTAAATAAAATACAAAATAGGGCTGGGGATGTGGCTCAGTGGTCGAGTTCCTTGAGTTCAATTCCCGGTAGAGCAAACAAAACAACACAACAAATAAAACAAACCAAGGGGGAGGGGGGAGCAGGGGAAGAGCACCAGAAATGGTAACCATGTGGGTGAATAAAGAGGCCTTTAGATGTGTAGGAAACCACAGGACAAGTGCACGCCTGTTACCCCAGCAACTCAGGAGCCTGGGGCAAGAAGATCAAAAGTTCAAGGCTGGGGATGGGGATATAGCTCAGTTAGAAGAGTGCTTACCTTGCATGAATGCTCAAGGCCCTGGGTTCAATCCTAGCACTACCAAAAAAAAAGTTCAAGGCCAGCCTAGGCAACTTAGACACCCTATCTCAAAATTTTAAAAGGGGACTTGGTAGCTCAGAAGTAGAGCACTGCTTGCCCAGCATTCTCAAGGCCCTGGGGTCAGTCTCCATCATTGGCACGCGTGCACACACACACACATGCGCACACATGCACACCCACAACCACAGCAAAGGCTGAGAGGAGGGAAGGGCAAGTGTGGTCATCCCTCAGTATCCCAGGGAGGGTTCCTGGATGCCAATGTCCACGGACACCTGAGTCTCATAACATCAGGACATTTGCCACATCCTCTCATGTACTTTATTTATTTGGGCACTAGGGATTGAATCTAGGGGTATTTTACCACTCACTGCGCTACACCCTCAGTCCTTTTTTATTTTTAGAGACAAGATCTTATTATGTTGCCAAGGCTGGCCTCAAACTTGTGAGTTGGTCTCTTAAATCTCTGAGATTACAGGCGTGCGACACCATGCCCAGTCTCTGTATACCTTCAGTCACTCTAGACTGCTTATGATGTCTAACAGGATGTAAGCGTATTACACAGTTGTTACACTGTGTTGTCTACAAAATAAGGACATAGGAGAAACTCTGTACATGTACAGTACAGACACTTCCCCCCCCAAATATTTCCGATCCACAGTTGGTTGAATCCACGAATGCAGAACCCTTGGGTAGAGAGGGCTGACTGTGCACCATTCAAGATGCTGAAACCATGTTCAGTGGTGTCACACCCACTGGGTAGGCTGTGGTAAACCAATGGTGTGTACTAAATCCCTAAAGCAACCATCAGAGAGAGAAGCAGTGACAAGGCCAGCTAATAAGTCAACAGAAGAGATGAAGTGCATAAACAATGCTCAGGTGACCAACAGACAGAGAATGGAGAAAGGGAATGAAGACCAATGGACACACAGAAAACAGTGCAGAGACTGGTTCAAGGTATAGAGGATTTTATTGATTTACTTTGAGACAGGGGTCTCACTACATTGAACAGGAATGTCTCAGACTCCTGCCTTAGCCTCCAGAGTGCTGGACTACCCGCGTGCTCACCACA